TATACCAATTACTACGCTAATTCTAAGGTTAGTATTTTCTTTGATTGTGATTCTTCTAGAAAGAATTGAACAATAATTGTTTGATTGTTTCTCTGCTATAGATAATCGTCTTCTTCCAGATAATCAACACCGATCTGTTAAAGTATTGACGAACGACGGTGAAGGTGAAAGAAAATGGAAAATTAGGATCTTCGTGGGAGATCGCCAAAGTGTTTATGGTAAGATTTTCATGTAGAAATTAGTTGCGGAATTAAGGGATTTATTGTTAACGGTAACAGTAATTAGAATTGATTGACAGAAAAAAAGGGAAAAAGAAAAAATCAATGCGTTTCTAAAAGAAGATTTAGTATTACCGGTGTAACAGTACGTTGTCGTTTTAGAATTCCAAAATGGCGCACGTCAATTTTGAATTCGAAACGACGACGTACATTCAATTTTGAATTAAAAATACGTATGGTGCATAACATCTAAACTCATCAATAGATTGTATTTTTATAAATTCAATAATCTACTTCACTAATAAGTAAACACAAAATTTAATCCGTGAATATGATGATAGAATAGACTTTTCTTGAACATATTCTCGGATTAAATTTTGTGTTTACTTCTTAAATGAAGTAGATTATTGAATTTATAAAAATACAATCTATTGATGAGTTTAGATGTTAATCTGAAATTGACGTGAATTCAACCCTAGCCATGTGATTCCGATACCTCTTAATTATAACGATAATACAGAGTTTCGGTTAGGGTTAGGATCAGATTTAATTTTAATGTTAAGGATATTATATAGCAGATAAGAGTATAATGTATAGTAAATTTTCGCAAGGAACATTTTTTGTTAGAATACAAATGACTGTTTTCAAAAGTAAGCGTTCAATTTTCAAGGGGAATATCGGATGGTCGGCATCGGGATCGGAATTACATGACCCGACACTTGGATAGGGTATTCAAAAACGACGTATAACATGGCCACCATCGAGATGGGTATCATCGACATAGCTCGAATATCGTCAATTTGCTCGTGAACCTTGCTATAGACGTCGAAGATATAGAAGATACGAGCACATAGTGTTGGTCATAGACGTGGTGAAATATCGTCGTAATAGAGTAAATTTGACAAATAAATATTTAGTAATTAAAGAACTTTATTAAATAAATGGATTGAATTATTAAGTAAAGAATTGCGACTCAAATAAGAGCTTCCAATATGTTTGAGACTGAACTTTTAATAAAGTCTAAAATAAACGCATCGTTGAATGGCTCCTTGTATAAAAAACGATATGGAAAAAACATTATTTCTAAATATTTTAAGAGTAAGAAGTACATAAGAGATTATCACAGGAATTATATTAAATATATTACTTGAAATACATAACAAAAAAAAGAAATTGTAGGAAGCGTTAAATAGAAACATAAAACATAAGAAAAAGAAATTTTTTAAATAATGTTTGCTTTGATTTACCTAACGTTAAGAACTAACTTCGACAATGTAAATCCAAAAAGATCTCGTTATTGAGTTCAAGAAACGACGGGTAATCATCTCGGTTCGCGACAATATGCTGGTATCCTGGTGATTTAGCAATTTCAGCAAAGTTTTTAACAACAAATTTTTTAACTTCTTCTTTAAGTTCTGGCCATTGATGTGCGGAGCTGAAAAGAATTTCTGCTGCATTCTCGACAGTTAATAAGTAAATTATATATCCTTGTGCTTGTGAGCGAAGTTCATCTAATAAATACTTATCGGCGATTTCATACAGATCAATAGCATCTTTGGACGACGTGTCATTTTTAATTGTAATATCACCTACATAAAGATATTTAAGCACCTGCAAGAACAATTTTGGGTCAGTTTCACTGACATTAATTTCATATTCGAATTCACGTTTTTTAGAAATCTTTTTGTCACGTTTTTTCAAGATGCTGCTTAGCCTAAACGCGCGCTTCGCATTCGGAATAGTGCTTTTTTCAACCTCTCCGAGAGAGCTGGAAGTCGTTTTATGTTCAGCCCAACAATTTTTAAGCAAGGCTCCAAAGTAGTTTGATCGAGTAACTAGAATTTTGCTGCTGGCATAAAATTGCTGGTTGCCAACGACAAACTTTACGTCAGAAGTATTCGGATTGTTTAAATCATTAATCCAAGCTTCTTTTAGTTCAGCATTTTCTTGATAAACTTTTGCGGTAATACATTGTTCATAGTGAATGCCCACATTAAATTCAACGCCTATTATAAATGTACTCGGTAGTTTTGAAAACCTGAAAAAATTGTTCCAACCTAAATAATGATTTTCAGTATATAACGATACAAACAACGATAACAATATACAGATAGGATTTGTAAACTTACCCCAATTTGGGGCATCATAACTGTATTTGTCTTCAATTTCGCCGGAAGTTAAATATTCGTTTCTCAAATTCTTTATAAATAATCTTGCTTTAATGTTTTTTCTGCGCAGCAAAGTCATACTTGGATTTTGTATTTCGAGCTTATCTGCAACAGCATAAAGAAAAAGTGAACAATATGCCGGGTTCGCAGCGCTAGTCTGGGGATTTAGGCGCTTTTAAATTGTTATTTGTAATATTAATGCCGCGATACTAATAAAATTAAAAGATTTGAAATTACATGTATATATACCTGAGTGAAAATTAACTGCCAAAATAAATTTGAGGGAGCAATCAATAAAGGACTGTAAATAGTCTTGGTACCTAATGAATTCTTATTTAATACGAATTGATGTATAGACTTGAATTCGTGTTTTGATTCAGTCATCATATTCTACTTGTTCACGATTATAGAAGCCTAAAAACTTGCTACGAGTGACAATATATTAATTAATCAAATTTATGATGTAATTTGAAAAAGATTGCAATAAACTATTTTATTCGATTATACTTCAAATTGCTCTGATTAAATCAATGTTGATATATAAACTTTTCATTACCGTTAGTACTGTTATGCACTGTGCATGGATTACGTATCGTAGAACGAACTCCGAATAAACTACGCAACCTGTTTCTGTATATCGATATTATTATAGGAGGATCTTATTACTTTTTAGTGAGAATACATATCGATATCAATACGCAGTACATATTAAGAAACAGCTATTATCGTTATCGTTATGAACAATGGAATTCAGTAAACTAGCTATCGTTATAACTATTTGGGAGGAAATAAAACAAAACAAGAGTTTCGCACTTATAATAATTTGTGCGCAATAGTTTATCATTGTCATTACACACAACCCCTTATTCTGCTATTTTTAATTTAAGTAAGCCATGATAAATGTTAAATATGCGTAAATAATAAGAAATCGCTGTTGACTAAATATGGAGAAACTAGCAATAAAGATAGTTTTTGACACATTAAATCTAACGAATATCAAACGAATACTGAAACAATTTCTTTTAAGAAATAATTATTTACCTCAACAACTCGACGCCGACCTATTAGAATTAGATGTACCATCTGGAAGATACCACACAATTGTTTAAGAGGCTTTTTGGTTCACTTTCTTTCATATGTTTACAGTAATGAATACTCATGATTGTAGTGCATGTACCGATTGTCAAAAAAAATAAGAACTGCTCTCCATGTATTGATTACCACAAACGAATCGAATGGTACAGCGGAGATAAAGATATTGACAGTCTAATAAATGAATGCAATAATATTGGTGACGATGATGTATTTGAATGGATCCCTTTTGAAAGATTTACCGATGTTGAACATTTTGCAAATGGAGGTTTCGGATCAATTTATAAAGCATCCTGGTTGGACGGACCATTAAAATACCCTTACAGGTTGGATCACGAAGAGAATAGATTTAAACGACGGGGAAAAGGGAAGTTGTGTTGAAATCATTACACAATTACATTCGAGTTTATAAACGAGGTAAAATGAACACCTTCAAGTGTAAGCATATTATTTTTTTGTTTTTCAATCTAATTAACATTTTCAAAATTAGATTCAAACTGCTCTAAAGTGCACTGTTCGGAAAGGAATAAATTATTATGGAATAACTAAAAACCCAGCTACAAATGAATACTCGATAGTGCTGGATTATGCATGAATTCCAACTACGAAGCAATGAGTTGGGAACAAAAATTAATATGTTTAGGAAATATTCTCTATAATTTGAATAAAATTCACGAAAAAGAATTTGTGCATCGTGAATTCATCCTGGAAATATATTAATATATTAATATTCAATTATCCTTTCAATTGCTGATTTTGGACTTACTAAACCAGCATATATAGAACAATCTAATCAAAAAAACTTGCGAAGTATTTCCTTATATGAGTTCAGAGGTGTTAAATGGAAAGCCATACACTAAAACTGCAGATATTTATAGCTTTGGGATGATAACGTACGAGGTTGCCACAGGTGAACGGCCATTTGGTGAACGAAGTCATGATATACAACTTATATACGACATCTATAAAGGAGTACGACTGACGATACCAAATAATGTTCCTAAATTATTCAAGTTTATTATTGAAAAATGTTGGGATCTTATTCCAGAAAACAGACCAACTGCCAAGGAACTTTATTGGTTTATCAGATCTATCTACAATAGATATTCGATGAAATCGGATACTTTGCATTTTCAGTACTTCAGCTCTTTAGAAAATAAGACACGTGAAGAGTGTCTCAAACTAGAAAAGCAGAAATTGCGAGAACTTGACGAGAAGATGAAAAGTGTTCCTACGAATACGAACAAAAAACGAGCAATCCACTCCAATGCAGTTTACACCAGTCGAATGTTTACATCAAAATTAATTTCAATTCCAACTGACACAGGTACTTTTATTTTGAAATATAAATCGTATCAACATTTCATATTAATTAAAGTTTATATCGAATGTTTAGGGTTGACAAGTGTCAGTTTGTATATCCCAAACGATTTCGATTTCAGCATACCACATGAAATCAAAGATGTCGAGTAACTTGTAAGAAAACTACAAATCCAAAGGTGAAACACTTCCAACAGAATATGGCAATATCAAAAGAAAATACTGCGCTTTATTGGAATTACTTTACATATTAAATTAAATTATCTTTTATGATTATTTGTAAATATTTATTTTATTCATACGTACGTATCTGTATCGGTATATACTGATACAGTATAACGATAACAAAAAACGCAGTAATCTGTTACTTTCTTGATCCTAGCAATCTGTCGTCGTCGTTTACTATCAATCTAACATTAGCGTTAGTATAACGTTAACGTTAATATCTCTGTTCATGAGTGTTCGTTATACGGTACGCAAAACGTTATTTAATATTTTCCTTTTATGCATGTTATTTAGTTACGTACTCTTCAATTCCACTTACCAGTTTCAAGCATGATATTGAAAGTGTTTCATCATGAAGTTATTGCTCTTCTTGAAAGAAACTCCACTCTCGTTGATTTCTGTTTAAAAAAACCAAGGAATTAAAGAGATTAATGAAAAAAATAAAAGGATCTTTTTAATTAGCGTTAGCGTTAGTGTTAGATGATCTCGAACTCGAGTTTCACTGTGTAGAACAATGATAGAAGAACAAATTATAATTCCTTCCCCAACCCAAAAACTTCGTTTGGAGCCAACGAGTACAATTCCTCGTCATATGCTACAATAATTACATCAATTATAATGTAATGTTATCATTATCGTTATATTATTTAATGTACATGTACTTACCATTTAAAAACTACATAACACGATATTGAATTTCTAATTAGGTGAAAGTAATTCTATTAATTCTTTTTGTGATATAGTTTTATTACTATTATAAGGTTACAATATGAATTTGTTTGTGTTGTTGTTCAGATTTTTTAATATCTTGACATTTTTATTTGTTTAGTATTGTTACAAGTTTGTTCACTAATCGTGAAATTAGCTTACAAACAAGAACCTGGATTGGGAGAGGATATAAATTGATAAAAAAAATATTAAGAGAGAAGAGGGGTATCTAAGATCTATATTAATTTCTACGAAAATTGTGTTTACTTGAAAGAGAATAATAAGGTGAGAGAGTTGTGGGAGAGTAAAGATCAATGGGGAGAGAGAATAAAGAAATAATAAAGAGGATTCAAAGGAGAATTCTATATTTGCATAGATCGCCATCTTCTGCATAATCCATCACTATCGAGTATTCATTTGTAGCTGGCTTTTTAGTTATTCCATAATAATTAATATAATAATCAGTGCACTTTAGAGCAGTCTGAATCTAATTTTGAAAAAGTGAATTAAATAAACAAAAACAAGATGTTTACACTTAAAAGGTGTTTATTTACCTCGTTTATAAACTC